CTTGCACCTCGGCGAGCTCCGAGACATCGTCGCTCTCGAAGGACTTGAGGATCGACAGCTCCGCCGGCGGCGGCAGCAGCTTCTCCAGCTTCTCCAGCGTGTCCGGGTCGAGGAAGGACAGGTCCATCGACATCACCGCGTTGCGGACTGTTTCTGGAGACACGCTGCTCCCGAAACGCACCGTCGTTGTTGTTATTGTTGTTGTTGTTGTTTTCGCGCAGGGATTGAATATGAAGGCGGCGTTGTTGGGGACGGGGGACGGGGGACGGGGGACGGGGCTGGTATCTCAGAATTGTCTTCGATTCGAGTATGTTTGCGGGAAGGAGGGTCCAAGTAGACATGGTTTTGGGACTAGGGTACGCTCGGTTGTCGAGGGTAGCAACTCTCCCAGCCACCGTTATCATCGGCAGCATCAGCAAGGTTTAAAGCAGGATCAGCGGCGGCGACGGCGGCAGCAGTAGCAGCAGCAGCAGCAGCAGCAGCAGCAGCAGCAGCAGCAGCATCCACCTCCACGGCGCCATGCGTCAAATCTTCCTTGTTTCTCGCGTAAAAAAAAAAAGAAACACTACATATCGTCCCTTCACAACCACGCTGCCTGGTCGGTAGACTGTATCGAAGGGCTCTCCCTATGTAGGGTGTCTGCATGTTTCTCCATCAAACAAAACACATCACCTACACACACAACAAAACGTGCTCTCCAGGTGTCTCGCCTGTTTCTCCATCAAACAAAACACCTATGAACACACACACAAAAAAATACCTGACAGTGCTGAACACAATGCCGTACTGGAGAGCAGCTTTCGCGCCCAGAAGGGGATCCCGTTTTTTTTTTTCTTGCTGCCCCCCCCCCTGTGTGCTCTGCCCCCCCCCGCCGCCAGGGGCGGTACCCTGCGCGTCACCCCCAACGTTCCCAACCTTCTTTGGCCCCTTCGGCTTCTCCTGGAAACCCTCAAGGATAAACTCTTTCGGGATGTCCTGCGCACGGACGAATAACACCGGGTCCCGTCACGAGGCAGGGGTACACGAAAATATCTGGCCGTCAGGGATACACAGCCGAGGGGGGGTTATGCACAACCTACCGCAGTGAAAAGAAGGCCACCTGCTGATGCTTACCTGTTGAAGGATCGAGCGCTTCTATTTCGCCGCTGACTCCAACCGGGATATAGTACGTGCGTACCATGATCGTACACGTGTGATACACGTCTGCCTCCAGCTTTCCCCTCCCATAGATGGGGAAGGGAGGGAAAACATTTTTGAGCCACCTTTGGCAAAGTAGGAAGGAACGATCGATCCGCCCTGCGGGAACAATACCCCGCCCTCTCGAAGACGCGTGGTCAATGGCCTAACAGCTACATGGCATGCAAAACATCAAAGCACGCCCTCCCGCCCTCCCTCTCCACAGACCGAAGCAAGCCCGGCGTCCCGGACCCCAACATCAAATAACCCCACGCACCAAAATATCTGTCTCTGATTTTCATTGTTTCGCGGACCCTTCGGTTCCATTCCATTTGAGTAATCCTTTCTTTAGCCTATAGAGACCACGGGAAGAATCGACCGCGTCAAGTGGTAGATCAGATGAAGGTCCTGGGCAGCGAGATCGGAACGGTTGGTAACGCCCAGACAAACAACAACAACAACCAAACTCACCACCGCCTCCTCCGACTCGATCTCCTCGAAAATGGTCCCCGTTATCGCCGTCCTGATCTTGTTCCAGTGAACCCCCCGGCGCGCGGGGCCTGCCGGCCGCGACTTCGTCGGCTTAACAACCCCCGCCGCGGGCAGCGGCAGCGGAGGCAGGCCACCTCCTTTGGCGACCATGCCAGGCAGAGGCGGCGGCGGCGGCGGCAGGCCGCCTCCTTTCGTGACCATGCCGGGCAGCGGCGGTGGCGGCGGCGGCACGCTTCCTCCTTTCGTGACCATGCCGGGCAACGGCGGTGGCGGTGGCGGTGGCGGCGGCGGGGGCGAGCTTCCGCCCCCCGCCGGAGCGTTGGGGAGAGTGGCCACCGCAAGGGGCGAAGCGGCGGCGGCGCCGGCAGCTTGCGTCCCCAGGGGAAGAGGTGGCGGAGGCGGGGGAGGGCTTGCGGTGGCCCCCGGGATAGTGCCCCCCGGCCCCGTTAACGTAGGTGTTCCCCCCGTGTTTTTTTCCCCTTTTTCGTGCCCTTCGGGGGAACCCCCTTCCCCGCCACCCTTCGACCCTTCCTCCACGGTTTCGGGGGCAGGGTCCCTGCAGAAAATTTCAGAGGGGGGGGGGGGGGTTCTCATGTAAACGAATGCCGTAATCGTTAGACCATTGACTCGGAAGGACAGAGAGGGGGGTGGGAGGGTGTACTCGTAGTCGTGCATGCCGTAGTCGTTAGACCATTGACCTCGCATCCATCCCTACAAAGCTGGGACGGAGCACGCCGGGTTCTCACCGGTGGATGGGATGAAAAAAAAGCGTGAGACACGATCTAAACAATACACGACAGCGAGGCTAGTCACGGTTGGGGGAAGCCGTCGACACAAGAAAAAAAAAGAGTACCACCACACCGCATGCACCTTCCACCACAAATCAAGAAAAAAAAAATGCACGTGTGAGAGCACCGGGACTGCCGGTAGGGAAATAAACCCGACCGTTCCCGCCAAAACAAACAACTGGCAAGAAAAACACGACCGTCGCCTCCACGAAAGGTCGGCTCACCACCACCAGTTCACCCCCAACAGCCATATCCTCGCCCCTCTGTCTCCCCTTCTTCCCCTCCTCTGCGTAACCCCCGCGGCACACGCTGCACCCTCCTCCCTCACCCTCACCTTACGCGGCGCCACAGCGCCGGGCCGCAGCAGCCCGTGCCGCCCCCGGACCCGCCGCCGCCCATGACCCTCAGCTTGTCCGCCAGCAGCTCCAGCTCCACGCTGACGGCCTCGTCGCCCTCCACGGCCATCGCGAGGGCCCTCATGGCCTTCACCGCCCTTGGCTCGCTGCTCTCCGTGGCTGCCCCGCCCGCCGCTTGGTTCCTCCCCCTATCCGCAGACCCCCCCCCGTCTTCGCCGTCATCGTCGTCGCCGGCTCCCTTGTCTGCAGCGGTGCCGCCGTTTTCCTCGGCATCCCTCAGGTCCTCGTCGGCCACTCGGTCGAACAGGTCCAGCTACATGATGGAGGTACGGTATGCCCACGTCACAAACATGGAAGAAAAAAAAAATCGCGCGTGTGTTGATGGTTGGACGGACACACGCAAACGAACAACCACGGGATGATTTGTAATACATCATATCGTCTCGAGCAACGACACATATAACACGAAAATCTGGACAGCAATTTGGACGAAAAAGCGTGCGCGCGACCGCGCAGTTGCCAGCGCCGTCCGGGGCGCCTCGACAGATCGTGAAAAAAAAAAAAGAAGTCGCCCGGACGGCACACACCCTTATCGTCCCCACCGCCGCTCTGTCTAGCGCGGGGTCATCATGGGGGGGGAGGGGTCGACCAACACGCAGCATCCTCTCCCCCTGTATTTTTTTCTTTATTGACGCAATCGTTTCGGAGCCCGGTCCGTACGAAGAGAGACAGAGAGAAAGAACGAGAGACAGAGATAGAGAGAGGAACCCCAACCCAGCCCAACCAACAAACAGCACCCTCGCGTGCGGCGTTGCGAGTTGCCTTTGCGTCCTCGTGTCGACGCCAGCGAGGACATCACCACCCCACCAAAACCACCACGTGCCTCCCCCGATCGCCCGGCGAAAAATAAAGATAAGCGTCGATACCGCCCTGTGAAGAAATCACGACAGAAGCGGGGTCCGACGCTGTGGATAGTTTCGTCGACTTAGCAGCAGGGTGGCTACGAAGCAAGCAACACGCGGTACGTAGGTACGTCTACAACCAAATTTTAGGTGGTAGATTCCCACCTGAGCTATGAGGTCCCTCCTGAGCTCCAGCAACCGCGCGTCGGCCACAGCGGCCGACAGCTGCGCCACGGTCCGCGGCACCGACGACCCGGTGGACGAGAAGCTCGACCTTGCCGTCACCGTCGCCAGGCTGCTCGTGCTGCTCCCCGCCGCCGGGCTCTTGGGTGGAACAACAGACACTCGCCCCGAGTTGGAAACGAACACTCCCGCCCCCGCCGGGCCGCCGCTGCTGCTGCCGCTGGGAACGAACACCCGCTTCTTCGAAACGCTGCCTCCGTTGCCGCCGAAATCCGTTCCGCCGCTAACGCCGCCGCTGCTGTCCTCGTCAGAAGAATCGTTCTCGAAGAAGAGCGCCGTCGCGTCCCGAAGGTGGTGGACCCTACCCCCGTCCTCAGCGCCGCTAACGACGCTATCGCTGTCGTCGTCAACGTCGTCGTCGTCGTCTTCCCCCCAGCGCTCCCTCGCCCCCGCGATGGCCGCCACCACGCCTCCGGCCACCATCTCCCCGCGCAGCAGCACCCGCTCCTCGAACTCGAAGGCCCGGGACAGGACGGTGTTGAGGAACACCGCCACCGCCAGGGCCAGCCGGAGGTGGCCGTCCTCCTCCCCGTCGTTGCCGCCACCACGGATTCCCGGCTGCGTGCCCCCCACCCCGTATCCCTCCTCCTCGCTGCTGCCGCTTCCTGGCTGCGTGCCCCTCCCCCCGTCCCCTGCCGCCGCTGCCGCCGCCGCCGCCTTGGAGAGCGCGCCCACGAGCAAGGAGAACCTTAGGTCTTGGTTCTTCTGCGCCTTTGCCACGTCCAGGGCGTTGAGCACGACCTTGAGGCCGTCCTGGCCGGTCTCCGTCATGACCGTGAGCACCTTGAGGAGGCTCGATCGGACCCTCTCGCTGGTCGAGTCCAGGGCGCTCCGCTGGGGGGGGTTTCATATGTGGAGCCCCCCACGGGTTGGCAGGAG